GGTGAAAGGATTTTTTTTTTTCCATAAACACTGTGTTTCAAGAAAGTTAATGCCTTTACTGTAACTTAGCCAATCAGGCTGCATGTCTAATGTCTATTTCTTTAATAATATAACATATCCTGCTCTCTGTATTACAGATTGATTTATAAATCAGATAAATCATATCCAGAATCCTGCTTAATATGAATTGCTTAGAATTGAAAACATAGGGCTTTTTTCTGAATGCAAATCGTTGCACAGCTACAGAAACATGCTGGGACTTTGTGTGAGAAGTCTAGTGCTATAGCATAAAAGATGAAGAATGGCTTGAGTCTGAAAATGGAAAATAATTAGTGTGATAAGGAAAAATTATTTTTCTGAAGACCATCTCATAGATGTTTAGCACCATGAAAGTGTATAAAAATATTTATTTGCCAAGTCTAATATTAAATCGGTCTAATTTTTCATTTCAAACACTGTTGATTGATAGAAAAAATAGTTCCCTTTCATTAGATGCCATTTATGTTAAGGAGCTGATTTGACTGTCTCCCTGTAGTCATTTGAGGCAGTTTTCTTCGCATTGCTCATACGTAGTATAACCCCAAGGAGAGGTTAAATGTTCTGATAATAAACATTCAGCTGCTCTCAATATTTTAAAAGAACAAAATTATGGCATAGTGAAATGAGTTCCAGAAGGCAATAAATGTGCTGGCTTCATGTCACCAGTAAACACTCACATATTTGAAGAGAAAACTTGTTTTTTAAAAAGAAGAAAGAATGAACAAGGCGAATACCAGAACTACAACCCTGGACCTCTGGAGAGCAGCCTTCAGCCTTTTCAGGGATATGTTTGGAAGAACTCCATGGGAGACGATCCTGGAGAAAAGAGGAGTCCAGGAGAACCAGAGATTCTCCAGGATCACCTCCTTTGAGCTCAAGAACTGACCATCCAGACATGCAGGAAGTCAAGGACAGGAGACAGGAGGCCTGCATGGATGAACAAGGAGCTCCTAGTAAGACTCAGACATAGGAAGGAAACATAGAAATGGTGGTAGCAGAGTCAGTTGACCTAGTGCAAGGGTTGGGTGGGGAATATAGAGACAGTGTCCAAGCATGCAGGCACAGAGTTAGGAAAGCAAAAGCCTACCAGGAGCTGAGCCTAGCAAGGGACTTTCAGGCCATCCGTGAGGCTTCTTTATTGGCAGCAAAAGGAAGGCTAGGGAAAATACGGGTTTTCTACTGAATGGGACACAGAAATGGCTGAGTTGTTACTTCACTTTGGTCTTTACTGGTAAAATATATGTAGAGTAATCTGAGGCCTCTGTGACCAGAGAGAAAACCTGCAGCAATGAACATTTTCCTTCAGTGGAGGAGTATCAGATTAAGAGAACATTTAAACAAATTGGACGTGCAAAAGTCCAAGGGACCTGACAGGATATACCTACAAGTACTGAGGGAGCTGGCCAATGTCAATGCGAGACCAGTCTCAATTATCTTTGAAAAGTCACGGTGACTGAGGGAAGTTCCTGAGGACTGGAAGAAAGCAAATGTCACACCTGTCTTCAAGAAGGAGGATCCAGAGAACTATAGGCCAGTCAGCTTCATTTCAGTCCCTGAGAAGGTGATGGAGAAAAAATCTGGAAGCCATTTGCAAACATCTGAAGACAAGAAGGTGATTGGGAGTTGTCAGTGTGGATTTATGAAGGGGGAATCGTGCTTGACCAACCTGATAGCCTTATGCAATGAGAAAAATGAAGTTCATCTTGGTGGATGAGGGTTAAGCAATCACTGGTTTTTACCTTGACTTCAGCAAGGTTTTTGAAACTGTCAAAATGAATGAAGATAGATGGACAGAGAGGTAGATTCAAAACTGACTGAACTGCCAGGCTTAAAGTGTTGTCATAAGCAGCATGAAATCCAGCTGGAGGTTTGTCACTAATAGTGTAACCCAGGGATCACTGCTGGGGCCAATACCATTTAACATCATTAATTACTTGGATAATGGGACAGAGTACACTCTCAGCAAGTTTGCAGATGATAGAAAAGTGAAAGGAATGGTTGATACACCAGATGGTTATGTTGCCCTTCAGAGGGACCTCAACAGGCTAGAAAAGTGGGTTGGCAGGAATTTTATGAAGTGTGACAAAGGGAAAGGCAAAGTCCTGTACTACAGGAGGAATACACACCAGCACACTCTGGGGGCCAACCATCTGGAAGACAGTGTTCTAGCAAAGGATCTGGGGGTCCTGGTGGACCTGGTTGAACATGAGCCCACTGTGTGTGCCCTTGCAGCAAAGAAAGCTGACAGCCTCTTGGGCTGCATTAGGA